GCAAAACCATATTTGTTCTGTATAGTAATACCTACTCCAGAGATGCTTTGTTGGAGCAGGGGACCATCCCCCTGGATATTGACAATGTTCACATGCTGCTGCAGGGTCAGTCTCATTTCCAGTACAGATTAGAGTGTAATGTTTCTGACTGAACAATGAAATTATTTTCTACAAGAACAAGAGTAATGGGTTTTTCAAAAAAAGCCTAGCTTTAGGCTGTTGGAACTACTGTGGTGCTTCTTACCTAAAATGAGTAAGTGCTCATTGTTTCTGGTCTGAGGTCATGCAAGAGTAAAAAGGAAAAAAAAAGTCCTGATTTCAGTCACTGTGGCAACATAATAACTGTTTGGCCTCAGTCTCACTCAAGGGAGCAGTTTGATGACCTTATCACAGTCAGTCCACTGTGGGCAACATCTTGTTTCACTTTTACCACTCTTTTTGAGGTCATGCTTGGTTTAATCTACGGAAAGTGATCTGCTGTTCACTTTGACACATGAGTCATGTTGCAAAGAGTCTTCTGAAGGGAAAGAGCAGGAGGGTGGTGCAGGCATGAAATAAACACTGCGTGCACATCAACTCACTGTATCTCGGGGCATTCATGAATGTCTTAAGCAAAGTATTGCACTGAGACTGTCGTTACAAGTTGGTTTTCAATTGGTGAGCCACTTCATTTTAAAGTTTTTCATCTCTGGTTTGTGATTTTAAAAAATGTAACAATGAGTCATCTGCTTGTGACGTAAGTTGTAGAATAAAAAAGAACAAAACACAAAAAAGTTATTATATACATTTACCAATTTATGGTAGGAGCTGTGGAGCGCAGATCCACTGAGCGCTCAACACAGACAGCATCGTCAGAAGGAAAGTTGATAAAATATATTACAAATTTTGTATTGTTCGATACATATGCGTACCGAACCGAAAGCACTGTATCAAACGGTTCAATATCGATACGAGTATCGTTGCACCCCTACTCAATACCCATACCTACTGCCAACACACTGGTAGTGTTATATTTGCAAATAGCCCTTTTAATAGAGTTTGTCAGAGCTAATCTTCAAGTCTTTATTGACTTGATTAGTTTTTTTTAGGAATTAACCATAAGTTTGACTTCTTCTGGCTTGTTAAGGATTCATATTTGTTTGGCCATTAACGATTCTGGGAGGAAAACACGAGTGGTGCTTGCCACATAGGAAGCAGCATACAAGAAATATTGCCAAGTGGCTCCAATGTTTGAAGTTGCCAGTTTGAGTGAAATCACATTCTTCTGGCAACACATGCAGGTCACAGTACGTGAGCTGCTTGTATTTGATCTGATCTGGCTCTGACACAT